GTACGCTCTTGTAGAGACACCAATAATCTTTAGAACCGAACTTGCAAGATGCAATAGGCGGTTTCATTCTTTCAACGAATAGAGACTTCGCTTCATTAAAGTCACGCTTGCACTCATTACGGGCAGAGACAAAGAGACGTCTGTTACAATCAGACATGTCATTACGGTATAGAAGCAAGAAGTGATTCCTATGGGTAATAGCAGCTGAGCAAGCAGCTGAGAACCAAAGGATCAGCGCGATATATATATATATATATATATATATATATATATATATATATATATATATATTCTTACGAGGATGAAAGCCTCGATTCCAGCTTTTACTCAGGAGAAGAACATCGGAAGCGCATTTTTTAACGAGGAGCTTAAAGACTACATTCCACGGGACATTGCGAAGGAAATAAACTTATTTTGATAAAGTTATACGAATAATTATATAACATTCGAAGAAAATAGATGATCAAAAACAGAACGATTAAATAAATCCATAAAATTTTATAATTGTTTTGCATTATTGAAAATTTTTTAAGGTAAGAATATAAAATAGGCTATTTTACTAAATTACACCGACTCTTTACTGGCTCTTGCATTGTAAATATGCCGAAAAAATTATGTGACGTCATTGGAACTTAGAAAACTGATAGTCAAGTTATGTAATGAAGATAAACCCTCGATTGGTGATATTTCAAAGACTGTGTGGAAATCTAAGTCTTAATCATAGTATTTTAAGAAAACTTGAGGAAACTGGGTTGTGTGAAGCCAAGAAACCACCTGGCAGCCCTAGGAAAACTACTGCAAGGGAAGACAGATTGATTGGTAATGAATCAAAAAAGATTGATTTGCGACAGCGCCGCTATCTCTGAAAGAGCCAATGCCAACCTTGGCATTAAAATATCAAGGCACACTATTTCTCGAAGATTTAATGAAATAAATTTGAACAGTCGTGTAGCCTCTACGAAGCCTTATATTTCTAAAAAGAATCAAATGAGCCGATTGAAATTTGCCCCTGAACACGTCATATGGACAGAAGAACAGTAGGATTGTGATGATTTCAGCGATGAGTCTAAGTTTAACATGTTCGGATGTGAAGGGAGAAGGTTCGTTCAATGCATTCCTAAGGAACGATATTCGCCTCATGGCACTAAAAGCGGCGTTAAATTTGGGGGAGGAAGTGTGATGGTGTTTTTGTAATGATTTCAGCTGCTGGTACAGGACCTCATGCCAGGCTACTCGGTAAAATTTACGCAACTGTATACAAAGAGATATTGAAGAAACATGTATCTAATTTGAGAACGGCAATTAATCAACCAGCTGTATTTATGCAAGATTACGCGCCGTGTCACACAGCGAAGTCTGTTAAGACATTTCTTTCTGAGGAGGATGTTACTGCTCAAAGCCCAAACATGAGAATGTTTGAAAGTTACTAAATGAAAGAGCTAAGGAAAAGAATTCAACAAACGTCGAAGAACTATAGACTAATTTGAAAGGATAATGGGATAAAATATCCGTTAATAAATGCAAGACATTAATTCGCTCATGTAGCAAAATATATCAAGCTGTTATTGAAAGTAAAGTTCTATACATCAAGTACTAATGAATTATGGACGCTATTTTCATTTGGATATGATGTATTCATTATAATAGTATGAGTTTGTTAATCGTTCTGATGTTTATTTTTAATCTATTTTTTTCGAATTTTATATAATTATTCTTATAACTTTGTCAAAATAAGCTTATTGAGCTTTATATTTTGGAACTATATAATTTACCTTTATATCCTTATTTTTCCTTGATAAAATGTTCTATGAAGCTTTAAAATAAAATGTTTTCTTAACATCGTTCTGATCTTAATGCTCGCTACTGTATTTGCAATATATATTGGCTGTCTGGCAACATATATATATATTGCAAACACTTTCACCCTATAAATATGGCAAAGGTTAAAACGATATTTTATCTCATATATATATATATATATATATATATATATATATATATATATATATACACATATACATAGTGTGTCCATAAAGTTCGCGTGCACTTTAAAGATTTATAACTTTATTTGTATTTACGATAAAAATAATTTGTAAACAGGATTAGAAAGAAGTAAATCTATATTTTTTAAGGTTTTATTGAAATTTTATTTAAGTTTCCACATGTCCTCCATCATTAGCAATAGAAAGGGTAATAAGATTTTACAGTTCCCGGAAAACATTTGCCAACTGATTTACAGTAATGCCTGAAAACACATTAGTTATTTTAGCTGTACTTAAAACGAGGTACATTAAACTTTATAACATATTTTATAGATTATTTCTATCGCAACTACAAATAAATTTATGAATTTTTGAAGTGCACACGAACTTTGTGGACACCCTGTGTATATATATATATATATATATATATATATATATATATATATATATATATGTCAAGAAAAAACTTTAAAGATCCGTTTCGGTTATAATTTATTTCGTGAATATTGTTGTATTCATCTCTTCAGACCGAAAGTTATTAATAAATTGAGACAATTCATCCGGACTGATGTACTAGGTTAACAAGAGGCAAAAAAAGGGGTGAGGGAAAAATAATTTTAATATAAATTCTTTTAAGACATAATACACAGAGAGAGGGGATGAGGAAGGGAGAGAGAGAGAGGGGATGAGGGAGGGAGAGAGAGAATGAAGGAAGGGAAAGGGAAGAAGGAAGAAAAAAATGAAGGGATTGTAGTAAAACTAAAATAGAATGACCTGGCAAAAAATTCTTTCTTAAAGGGTTTATATCTTTCATTTTTACTTGTAATGACATATTTTGAGTTCAACCCAACGAGTTGCTACTCGTATTCTAATGAAATCATTCTATACCTCGTCTACTTGTAAAAATCTCAGTACACAGAAGGGCTAAAAATAAGAACTATATCATTAAAAATGTGACCGAGTGATTTTTCATAGGGAAAATATATAAGAAAAGGAATAGTTCTTTTTTTTCATCATTTCACTCCAAGAAAGGCGATAATGCCACTAAGACGCTGAGGAGTGGTAACAGGGAATGAAAGAGAATTAGACTTTAGTGGGAATAAAGAAAAGGACAAAGGAACACAATTCAGAGTGACGTTGCATTTAAATTTATGAAGATTGTTGGTGGCAGGGAAGCAAGAAATCGAAAGGTGAGAAGTGCGGGAAAAGAAACTATCCGAAAATAACTGACAGTTGCAACTAACTAATTTAACATTAAAACTGTAAAACATAGTTGACAGTCGAGTAACACATTTAAATTCATACAGTCAAGGCACCAAGGAGAAAATCTCAGAACGATTAACATGAAAATATTTGTAGAAAGGACAGATGGAAGCCACGTCACGTCGGTGAGACAGTGACTGAAGTCGAGATTACAGGTCAGGATAAATTGCATTACACACCCTTCTCTGAATTTTGTATTTGCATGGAAATAGTAAAAAGGAAATAACTAAAAATATGAATTAAAAAATTAGATTTAAAATAGATTCAAATTAAATAGATAAACTGTTTACAGTGCCACGCAAAGGTTTACAACACATTACAAAAATGTTTTTTTTTGGTATTTTTAATACAGATAAATTAAACTTTTACTGCACGTAGAAAGTATATATTTAGATATTCAGCGAATCAGATTTTTAAAAAACTTCAAAAAGGTATCCCACGAAAAGAAAACTCGATATTTAATAAGTGAAAAGTTTACAACACATTTTTCCTTTATTTACAACAACTTTTTTTTAAAAATAAAAGTGTTCAAATTTTACTAGAACGTTCCAAATTATGATGGGGCTGTTTTTAGAACGTTCTAGATTAATTTTATGATTACTTTTAGGAATGATTAAAAGTATTGTGTCATTATTTTTCTGTCAACAGTCCTTTAAACACTGACAAAATGAGGAAAAAGCAAAATAATTGATCAAGATCTCCGTAAACGTATTGTTGACCTTCATACAAGTAGACTTTGTTATAAGAAGATATCTAGTCAGTTAAATGTGCCACTGAGTTCAGTTGGTACGATAGTTCGTCACTGGAATACATGTCATTCCATTCATCCTCCAAAAAGCTCTGGTTGTCCTAGAAAGTTAACGGAACGTACGGCAAGATTATTTGTGAGAAAAGTTAGCAACAAGCCCCAAGTTATGCTTAAAGAACTTCAGGGAGGACTAGAAGTAAGTGGTGTAAAGGTGAGTACGGATACTTTTAGTCGTTCACTTCGTCCATATAATATATTTTCAAGGACTCAGAGAAAAAAAACACTTCTTAAACGAAAACACGTTCTTGCTAGACTGGATTTTGCAAACGAGCATGATATTAAACCTGCAACATTTTGTACTTTGGTCAGACGAAACGAAAATTGAACTTTTTGACAGAAATGCTGTGGCAAAGGTCTAAAAAAAGAGGGGTACTGAATATATGCCTAAACATCTCAACAGTAAAATTTGGATCAATCTTTATTTGGGGTTACTTTATTGCCCAAAGTCTAGGGAACATTGAAATAATAGAATGGAGGACGAATGAAGTATATTATAGAGATATTTTGGAGAGAAATTTACGTCAGAGCGCACATTCGCTGGGCTTAAAACCAGGTTACAAAATCATTGTTAAGTTCATATAGAATAGACCTTCAAAAATAGCCAAGTCAATCTTCAGATCTCAATCCGATTGAAAATTTAAATTGAAACTAAGAATTCAAAGAAGGAACCCGCATAACCTGCATGAACTAAAGGAATTTTGTGAAGAATGGAAAAATATTAGTGAAGAAACATGCAAGAAATTCTAAACGCCTACATGTAATTAACAATAACGGTTACGCTACGAAATATTGATAGATGATTTAACAAATGTATTGTAAACTTTTGCGTTATTAAATATTGGTTTTTCTTTGTGGGATTTTTATGGATTATTTTTTTAGAACCGGATTTGACTAAAGGCTTAAAAATATGTATTATTAACAGTAAAAGTTTCATTAATCTGTGTTAGAGATGGTACTGTATCTATATCCGTCTGTCCATTATCTCTCTATCTCATTCAATTCATATCTATCTATCTATCTATCTATCTATCTATCTATCTATCTATCTATCTATCTCATTTTATTCATATCTATCTCATTCTATTCATATCTGTCTATGTATCTATCTATTTACTAAAGGCTTAAAGATGTGTATTATTAGAAGTAAAATTTTCATTAAAATGTGTTAGAAGTACATAAAGAAACATTTTTTGTCATGTGTTGTAAACTTTTGTGTGGCACTGTAAATGATTAATAAATCTGATATATTTTCTGCTGGGGATTCAGTTTAACAAAAGTATATGTCACGTCATTTGCAACTAATAATTTATGTTTGGAATGGGAATGAATGGTTCGCCATACTTGCCTCGGGTGTTGGAAGTACATCCGTGTTTGTTTGTTTGTTTGCTTCTTTCTTTCTTTCTTTCTTTCTTTCTTTCTTTCTTTCTTTCTTTCTTTCTTTCTTCATCATTCAAAACAAACAGAAAAAAAACTGCAATGAAAACAAGTGGAAATCTTGGTATGAAAACTGTCGTCTGTGTGTTACTTCATGTCACTTCAACAATTATCTCCCATACAAAAATGGCGATTATCTTAGGGCTAAAAACTCGGATGTAGTTGTGCAAAAAAAAAACTTTAAAAATCAATTTCAAATATAATTTATTTAGTAAATATTTTATATTAATTTCTTTGAACAAATTTGTACATCTGGTGATGTGGTGTGTGAACAGACTTGAAAGAAACAAATGTATTGGTTTTAAAACTCTTCAAAAATAAATACATATATTTCTGACACGTTATTTGAGTAAAATTAGAAAATCTAAAGTTAAATTAATCTGATTTGAAACAAATATTACTTACTTATAGCATAAAAAGTAATATACAACCATTTGTTAATGATAGGACCTGTTTATCTGAGGCAAATGATTGATGGACGATTGAGTGACGAAGCGATGGGACCTAGCATGGATAACTAGAATTGACATAAAATTTACGAAATGTAAATCTACCTAGTAATTTTTACAAATGAACATATTTTCCGCAATTATCTAATAATTTATTGACATTTATTTACCTTTCGAAACTTGTATGGTTTGAACATCGTCATCTTCAACAACTTGGAAAACAACCTGAAATCCCAAGTTGACACCTGCTCTTCTCTCCATTCTCGCCTTGTTTCACCATTTTTGGATGACTGTCGACGAAAAATGGATCTTTTATCGAAATGTTAAGCGTCGTAGACAGTGGCTTGGTAAAGGGGAAGGACCCCAGCCACAGACGAGAAGGGAACTTCATGGGCAAAATGTTCTTTCAATCTGGTGGGATCGGCAAGGAATAATCCACTTTGAATTCTTACCACATAATGCAACAATTAATGCTCAAATATACTGTCAATAATTTATTTTACAAACACAGCTATATGTCTTCTTCGTGTTTAAATGAACCTCCAATTGGAATGGGTCAGATGCAATTTGAGGCTTGGCAGGACAGATTAACGCTATTCGATATATATATATATATATATATATATATATATATATATATATATATATATATATATATATATACGATAAGAACTAAGACCGTAATATTTCTTGAAAATTATTGATGTTTGTTTAACCCATTAATACGCAACATCGCATTTTTAGGATGGTAGACATTAATGGTAGAAATATATAATTAATACCAGATTTTTATAAGCGGATAATGAGTACATGATTATCATCATCCTCATTCATTCAGTTACCACATTTTACACCTCTGTAGTCGTCCTCCCCTATTTCTGTTATAATGATGGTTCATGGTGACATTCAAGGCAAAATAGTGTGAAGGCTTGCCGGTTCCTTTTGCACAGGGACCCCGTCCCTCTTATCAGAATTTCCTCCGCCCAATAGTAAAGCCGTTCACCTCTGTGGCAGCGATGGACGCTTGGTTGAAGGAGAGGCCTTTTCTTTTACCAGTCAGGCCAGAAAACTTTTCCGACTACCCTCACACAGTTTAGTGGGCAGGTCGATGACCGGAGTGTGACCGTCGTAGTGTCCGTGCGATTTCTTGGAGCCATGTGTGAGAGTTGGATGTTGGTCGTGGACCCGTACGGTTCCGCATCCCAATTCATCGGAGTAAAGCAGTGTCGACTATTCACTGAAAACTTACTACCACTGTCTATTACACTTTTTTTACTTTGAGTTTTTCCCTTGTTTGTTTGTTTCTTAATAATTTACAAAAAAAAAAAAAAATGACTGTTTTGCTGTTTGTTAATTTTTTGACTATTTTTATAATTGTTTATTTATGTATTTCCTTTTTTCTTTTCGTCTATTTTTTTTATTCTGCTTCTATTTCTTTCTTTCTTATTTCTGCTTTTTTAAAATGTTTAAGACATTATTTCACTCATTTTCGCTGAACACACGCACGCAAGCACACGCACATGACGAAAAAAATGTCAAAAGAAAAAATCCATTTTTTCTTGTATACACTTTCCTTCTTCTTCTTCTTCTTCTTCTTCTTCTTCTTCTTCTTCTTCTTCTTCTTCTTCTTCCATGATTCCATCATAAAATCAATTTATTTAACCTAAATATGAAGAATTGCTTTGGGTGCGGCAATTCATCCAGGCGTGGTAAGAATCAGTTACAAACGCTGAGAACTACAAACGAATTAGATCATTTACCCCTAAACGAGTGTTTACTGAACCTTTGGGTGTCATAAAAATACTTCTAAATTTTCACAAGAAATATATAGAAACAAGAATTGTAATAAAATATATTTAATAATAACAATGATAATATGGAGCGCTAAGATCAACATTGCCTACGCAATCAAAACAAAAATTAGGTTTTGGTGATTGTGAACATTGAAAAGCCGCCAGATCGTAGATGTGAATTTGAGAGCAGACTCTTAAGAGATGATAAAAGAAATAGTTATATAAATATACCAGGACCACGATCGGGTGCTGAAGTTTCTCTGAGACATGAAGGTTAATGGAGGTGCTCATAATAATTGGCTCACCAAATTACAAGAGTCTGGGGTCGGAAGAACTAGAGATTCGAGGAAGGAAATAGACTGCAGGCTGTAAGAATATTGAGAATAGGGCTGGGGATGTGTGGAGACTTGTTGTCATCAAGTGACCACCACCAAACATCTGGTATGCAGGTACAAATGACGAGATCTCAAAAACGATAAGAAAAAAAAAAACTATATGGTGATCACAGAACGCAAATAGAACAATGGCAGATAAATCGACATGGACATGGCTGCGAAGAGGAAACAATAGAGAAACCGAATAGTTAATTACAATATTTGCATACGGAGTATTGCATTCATCTTTGTTTTTATTATTAAAACGTTTCAGCCATTTTGGTCTCCAGTATTGTTCAGGTGTTTGTCGATACGGGAAAACGTCAGAAAATTTTGAAATGAAAGTTTTTACTTAATCTCAAAGGTTAGATTGTTTTCGTTCTGCCGATTTTGTCTTAGGATATCTCGTCTTGTCCTTAATACTGTTCAGTTATCGAGCATCCAGTTTCTACTGACTCTATTGGGTCGGGTAGTCAGTTCTACAGGGCCAGGGATTGAGCTCTCAGTTACTGTGTCATAAATTCCACGAATCTATACTTTAATACACCAGGCTATTGTCCTGTTAATCACTCTTAATAGCGGGCTATACGAACTAATTATAAAGATCAAAGGGAATCTGGTTATATGATTTACGGTTCTATCTTCCTGGTGCCTCGTGATACATAATTTCTCTTTGAGGTTTCTGCAATCAAATTGTCCCGCAAGATAGTTTGATTGGTCCTAAGTCATATCTCTGAACACTGGGAAAGATTTGATTCTGTTGGTGTTTTCTTTCTCTTAGACGACCACATGTTTCCGCTAACGAGACGGATGTACAAGTTTTACGTGTAAGTGTCCCGCCAGACTTCGTGATTAGAGACTGTAAAGACAAAATGTGCTGCCTTATTGCCATGACAGTCCCTGCAGACTGCAATGTATCTTTGAAGATCTTCAAAAAAATACCATAATACAAGGACCTTGAAATAACATAATACAAGGAAATTGAAATTGAAATCTCAAAAATGTGGCACATGAAGACATCAACAATTCTAGTTGTCGTTGGAGCCTTCATTGAAGGGATACCTGTTAGACGCTACTGTGTGGTGTGTATGTGAGCATTGCTGAAAATCCACCATCTTTTAGGGCTGTTTCATAATCTTTGTTGCCTTCGTTGAAGATGGTTTCATTGAAGATGAAAAGGTTAATTGATTATAGAATCTGCTTGATTATTGATGAAAGATGGATGGAAGATGTGTGTATATAAAGTGGTTTGCCATTAGGTTGTCTGTATGGTAGAAGTGTATAATGATTTGTGTTTCATTTGTGTTCATTTTCATTTGTTTTTGAGCTAAGACGATGTCCTTACCCTTATGTTAAAGAAGGGTAGAAATCTTTTATATCTAGTTCTATAAATTGGCAATTATGCATGTTTTTTAGGTTGCGGAACCAGTCTATAATTGTTTTTGCGTTTTCCCACTGGTTTATACATACATACTTTTGTGATGTCAACGAACACTCGTTGCCACTTTTGTGATGTCAACGAATACTCTTCGTCAATTTCGTAATGCTGGTTGTAGTAGAGACTTTGTAATCGCAGATACAACTATATTACGCCGTTGAACAATACTGGTATCAGACGCATTCGAATAACACTCGTAGTAATAGTACTTGCTCGATAATACTCGCCCGAAAAGTAACCCGTATAGTGATCCGAATAGAGAAATATTATAGTGAATGGAGGAGCAGTCCGTATAGTAATAGAGGGTAGAAGAGAAATGGTGATCCGAATAGTAACAGAGGATAGACTAGAAATGCAGGTCCTCTGGAGGCCACGCGACTTCCCATATATGCGTTTCCTCTATGGTCAAGTGGTCTACTTAATTCAATAATGCTATCGCCTGTGTTTGCAGCGACACTTTATTGTTATATAACACATACATATATACATACACGCATATATATATATATATATATATATATATATATATATATATATATATATATATATATATATAACGTGAAAATGCTCGTCAGGTCCAGATGTTGGATAAATTAATTGAAATTGCTTTATAATCTTCAAAACAAACG